CACCCCCCTCCTTTAAAAAAAAACCTACCTTCGATCCCTCCAATCTTGGCCACTACCGCCCTATCTCAAACCTGCCCTTCCTGCTCAAAGCTTTGGAACGTGTTGTTGCCAGCCAACTTCGCTCACACCTCTCCCTCTACTCCCTACTCGAACCCCTCCAGTCCGGTTTCTGCCCTGCCCACAGTACAGGGACAGCACTCGTGAAAGTCACAAAAGATATCCTCTCTATCTGTGACCAGGGCTCCCTCTGCTTCCTCATTCTCCTGGACTTCACCGCTGCGTTCGACACAGTCGATCACGCCATCCTCCTCCACCGCCTCTCCTCCATCATCCACCTCAATGTGACTGCACTCACTTGGTTCGAGTCCTACCTTACAAACCGCCAACATTACATTTCCGCAAATGCTTTTTCTTCCCTCCCCTGCCCGGTCACCCGCGGGTTATCCCAAGGCTCCATCCTTGACCCCCTTCTCTTCCTCATCTGTATGCTCCCTCTCGGTGATGTCATCTGCAGACACGGGGTTAACTTCCACATGTATGCGCATAACATTTGACTCTACTTCTCCTCCTCCAGCTGCGAACCCCAGTCCCCCGATGTTCTGTCAACTTGTCTGATAGACATCAAGACTTGGATGAGCGCAAACTTCTTGCAGTTAAACGTCAACAAGACGGAAGCCATACTTTTTGGCTCCTGCTGACGCCTTCTGTCCTATGGTTCCAACCTCCTCAACCTACCCGGTTTGTCCTTAAACCTCTGAACCCGTGCCCAACTTAGGCGTCCGGTTCAATCCCCAGTTATCCTTTCTCCCCCACATCCAGTCCCTGGCCAGGACCACTTTCCTCCACTTCCACCACATTGACCGTCTCCAACAATACCTCACTCCACAAGTTGACGAATCCCTTGTCCACACCTTCGTCACCTCTCGGTTGGACTACTCTAACGCCCTCCTAGCCGGTCTCCCGTCCTCCACTATTCACAAAATTCAACTTATCCAAAAATCCCCCACCCGCATTCTCATCCGCACTGAACTCCGTAATCCCCGATTACTCCAGTCCTTGCCAAACTCCACTGGTTCTTTGTCAAAATCCTCACTCTAGTGTTTAAATCTCTCTATTCCTTGACACCCCCCTATCTCTCTAACCTCCTCTCTCCCCACAGCAGTACCTGCTGCCTCCACTCTACTGGGTCCAGCCTCCTCCTTGTCCCCTGAATCCTCCGTTCCACCATCAGCAGCCGTGCCTTCAGCTACTACGCCCTGAAACTTTGGAACTCCCTCCCTCAACCCCTTCACTTCGCCCCTTCCTTCCCCATTTTCAGGTCGCGGCTGAAGACCTTCCTCTTCGACCGTGCCTCTGGTCACCTTCCCTCTCCCCCTGGCTCGGCATTGGGCTCTGCCATAGTTATGCGCTCTGGGATGCTGCCCAGCGTATAGGGGGCTATATAAATGCAAGTTGTTGTTGTTCTGGCGCAGAAGAGTAGGTGTGCTTTTTGTCATGTGTTTGTTTTTTTGGAGCCAGGTAGGACATTGTCATGAAAATGATATTTGAAATCTGGCATTCAGAGGTGACGATCATTTTTTTAAAAAAAATTTCAACTTTGAATAGTTATTTTGTGACCATCCAAACCACGGTTGGGCAAAAGACGCCCGCGGGCCATATCCTGCCCGCCAAATGATTCTGTCCGTCCCGTCATTGTGTCTAGCAATAGAAAAAATTATCGTTTGTTCAGTCCCAGAAAGTCGCACAAATTTTGCATTTGAATCTGACCGGGAACATCAGCCAATCACACTGCTCAGCTGTGCGCTCCCTTCAGTGTTGAATCCGGCTGATGTCAGAAATGGACAGATCGCCAAATTTTCAAACATGTGCGCGCGGCAACCGGGGCAATACTTTTCAGCGGCAACTGCGGCAATACTTTTCACTGAAGAGGACGTTAATTCGAAATGAGTTTATCAAAGAAGCGGAAAGTGGACCCTGAAGGCCGAATGTTCAACAAAGAATGGACTTCTAAATATTTTTTTACCAGTGTGGGTGGAAAATAAAACAAATAAAATAAAAATAAATTATAAAATAAATAAAGAAAATAAGAAGTGTGCAGTTACAAAATAAAGTAAGCAATTTTGCACGTTTTTCACTGGCACTCGATGAGAGATGTGATGTCAAAGACACAGCCCAGTTGATAATTTTTATTCTAGGTATCACCATACATTTTGAACTCATAGAAGAATTGGCATCAATGCAGTCAATGAAAGATACGACAAATGGAGAAGACATTTTGGAGACAGTAAATAAGTGTATCTTAAAATTAGGAGTGGAGTGGAAAAAATTGGTGAATGTGACCACCGATGGAAACCCAAATCTGACAGGCAAAAATATTGGGTTAATGAAAAGAATTCAAGATCAAGTCAAAGAAACAAATCCAGAACAGAATATTGTTTTTCTACACTGCATTGTCCACCAAGTGGTCCTCTGTAAGAGTGTTCTAAAACTAAGCAATGTCGTGGACACAGTTACGAAAGTAGTCAACTACATTCGAGCAAGAGGTTTAAACCACAGGCAATTTGTAACTCTGCTCGAGGAATTGGAATCCGAACACACAGATGTTCTGTATCACACGAATGTTCGATGGCTTAGTTTAGGAAAGGTCTTGAAAAGAGTGTGAGAACTGAGAGCAGAGATTGATTATTTTTGGGAATGAGACAAAAAGATTTGGATTTCTCACAGCTGAATGATGCGAATTGGATCTCTGATTTCGCATTTGCCATTGATATCATGGGCCACATGAATGAACTGAATTCAAAACTGCAACGAAAGGAGGCCTTTGTGCACAATTTGTATTGCAGTGTCAAGTCATTTATGACAAAATTATTTATTTTATTGTGTCAGATAGGAAACAGGTTGTACGCCCACTTTCCAACTTTGCAGCAGATTACTGTTTGCGATCAAAGCCTTAAAAAATATACTTCATCACTACTTGACTTGCGTGCCAAATTTTCTCACCAATTCCAGGATTTCAATTTGATCGAAAATGACCTGTCTTTGATCTCTTCACCTTTCTCATTTGATGTTGACAAAGCCCCATTTGACCACCAACTCAAGCTTATTGCCCTGCAATGTGATCTATTGCTTGTGGAGCAATTCAAATCAGTGCCGCTTCCCAGTTTTTACGCCTCTCTTGATGAATATATCTTTCCAAAAATAAAGACTCATGCCTGGAGGATGCTTGTACTGTTTGGATCAACATACATATGCGAAGAGACATTTTCTGTGATTAAATTAAATAAATCAAAACAGATCTGTGATGACTGATGACCACCTTGCAGCAGTACTCCGCATTGCAACAACGGATTCGATGCCTGACTTCAATTGTCTGGTTAAAGCATATCAGCGCTTTCATTCTTCCCATTGAGTGAACTTCTCACATTCTCATCAATATGTGAATAAATATCGAATAAATGTCTATTCAATGAGTTGTTTTTATTTAACCTAATTTTAATGAATGTCAATTATATAGACTTTATTTTATGCATGTACAAGTGTAAGACTTGATTTTGAGCTATTATTCAGCATTTGCATCTATATTAAGCGTGTGGCCCACGAAGCTTACCAAACCTCGTGAAGTGACCCACCAGCCAAAATAATTGCCCACCCCGATCCAAACCATGCCATCAACTGGAAGTTATGACTGCAAATTGACTTAATTGAATACGCTGTCAGTGTGCATAATGTTACATAATGTTTCACACAGAACACATACAAATTTTAATTGTGGAGTAAGTGGTGTATGGTGAAGCGGTTCCATAATGTATAAGGTTTGTTACAATTTTAGCGGCAAAACCAAAGAGGCACCACTGAAGTGAATTTGACATTTGGTATCTTAATTATCTTAGCATTCTCACCTCTGAGAAAATTGGTCATTCACTTCATAGTTGTTTGTGGGCTGCATTCATTTAAAAAGTACAATTACTGCAGTTTACAGTAAATCCTGCCAAGTACTTTAAGACATCCCCCCAACATGTCATGTGCAAGGATTATTATTTACTTCCAGATCACTGCATGGTAAGTGCAATATATCAGAAGAGGCCTTTGTAATGGAATGTATTTTTAATAATTATGTATATATTATTTTATATATTATATATATATACACACAAGGCCGGAGTTGCTATTTGTGACACTTGTAACAAAAAAAAGTAGATTGCTCTCTTTTCACATGCTGCTTATCTGTACATCTGCCTGTTGGCACTCTAATGAGTAATTGAAGTCAGATGAAAATGTTGTGTGTCTGCACACAAAGTGGGCAACACAGAGACCCAGTGGGAGAGAGAAACACACAGAGACCTCATATCTACACTGGATCCAATTTCAATTACTGTGGTACTTTTGTTTGACTTTCTTCTGAATTAAATTTTCAACCTGTCCTAATAGTGCAGCAAAATCCGTAGCAAAATATGTTTTACTTGAAGGATTATAAGGATGGAATAAACCTATTTGATGTTATTTGTGCATACTAACTCTTTAACCTTTTTTCATCTAATTTTAGCATCTTTTCATTTACATCCCTCAAAAGGCTTACTTGCTAAATCACTCTCCATCTCCCCTTTTCAATGTCTCAATTTGGTGCTTGATATGTAACCTTCTAAGATAACAGATTCTATATTCTCGCACCTATTATACAGAGAAATCTTTCTGGAAGCACTTTTAACCATTTCGGATCAGGTTAGCAAAAGGAGTTGTGAAACATTTAACAGTTTACAAAGTTGGTAGTGTGTGTTTCTATTTCTACTGTTTGAAATTGTTCAATTGGCCAAACATGATATCTTAGTGTCCAGCTCTGTATATCTTACATATACATCATTAAATATTGGATTAAAATCTTGACCAAGAAATGTTTTGGACTTTTTGCCAAATACCTAAATGTTCAGTGAAAACTAGATGGTAATTTCTAATCTGTGTAGGTACAACAATAACTTTTTTTTCATTTATCTTTTTAGGAAAAAAGAGTCGAGCTGCTGTCACCATGGCTACAGAAGATACAAATTCTCCCTCAAAATCAGCTTGCAAAATTATGACCTTTCAACCTACACTGGAAGAATTCAAGCATTTCTCTAAATATATAGCACGCATGGAGTGTCAAGGTGCACACAGAGCTGGCCTTGCCAAGGTAATGATTAGAGGGTTCTTTGCACTCCAGTAACAAATTGTTATATAGAGGAGAACCTTATTATTGCGTAGTAATTGGGATCATAAAATGCTATCCAGTCTTGGAAAGCGAGCACAATCTCCAGTCATTGCTTCTGCATTGTAATGTTTACTATAATGTGCGTAGGCTCTCTTCACTTTCTTAGCAGTATTTTGAAGAATCTTTGATATATATCTACATAAACAAAACATGTTAGTCGACTGGCACCGATTGCTTTTCGGGGGTAATAATCCCTTTTTTTAAAAAAAATTGTTCACTCTACCCATAACATTTTGTGGGACACTGCTGTGCACAATTGGCTGCCACATTTCATCCATAAAACACAAAGTCAATCCACTTCACAATATATTTTGTGAAGCGTTTTGAGACGTCTCAACAACGTGAAAAGGCCCTATATCAAATGCAAAGATTATTATTACTTTATCTAATATAAAATTAAGGTCTGTATATGAAAATATGGGAATGCATTTGACTGTTTATCCGCCTTGAATATATAGTACCAAATGAGTAACTTAGTTATTTATCCGGTACATCTGAGTGTTAAATACTGACTGTGGGCAAAAGGTGAAACATATTTCTAGCATTGACATCTTCTATCAGATTTCACTGCAATAACTGAAAAGACTGTAATTTGCAACTTGTGCCATTATGTTCTTGAATATAATTGTAGCCTTAAAGCTGTTTTTCCCAGGACATCCAGAGTTTATCTGTAATATCATACAAAGTTGAAAACACCAGGATTAACATTGGTAGTCCTTTGCAAATGTTATTGAGAATTAAAACATACAATATTTGGTTTAATAAAATAGTGCAAGAAATTGCTTCATTTGGGAAATAGTATTTGATCTTCATTGGGATCATAATTAGAATTTTTTAAATAGGAAGGTTATTTTCATAATTCTGTAAACAAGAAATGGAAATTTAATGATAAAATTTCATTGCATAGTTGGAATAAAAAATACATTAAACCTAGTGTTTATTCTGACTGTCCAGTGATCATCTGTAAAACTTATCACCCATCTTCTAATTGCGGTTTGGTGTGAAGAAATTATTTCCAAGGTAAATTAAGAATAGATTTGGAGACAAGCATAGAGTACATCCAGCTCAAAAATGTAGTGAAGTATGTACAGGGAGTCTCTGCTCAGTTTATTATTTATTGAATATACGGTACCAACAGTTCCTCCTTCCCCCCCAGGACCAGGCTCTGCCACTGTTAAGCGCTCCGAGACATTGCCCTGTGTGAAGGGGGCTATATAAATGCAAGCTGTTGTAGTGGGAACACTTAAGTGGGGAACTTGACTGGTATTGGAGTACATAGATGTGTATTGAATGTTGGGAATTTTACTTGTGTTCTAATTTAATCTATTGATTAGATGGAAAGCTAAGAATTTATCCATGCCATCCTTTACCCAGAAAAGATCATCTGATTTACTTGATCAGTAAAGGTCATCATAATGATATTGGCACTATGCAATTTAAACAAATTACCATGGTATGGTATTTCAAAACAAATGGTATTCTGCCAAATTTATGTTTATGTGCATCTAGTTTACTCTAAATTATACCTTCTTTTGTTGGTCAATAGTTTTTTCTAATGATTCAAAGGTCCATTTTATTTCGTTTTAATTCATTTTTCTTTAAATAGTGTCTTGAGATCTTTATTGCCCACCTGAACAGGAAGTCAAGAGCTCAGGTTGGCATCGCTTGTGAAAAACAGAAGGAACACTTCAGACAAGGCAGTGTTTCCACTATACTGAACTGGAGTATTTGTCAACTTAATCCCAACACGTGGAGACCTGTAGCTCAAAATATACTGTCAATTCACTTTACAGTATACTCTGTGAAGCGCTTTGAGAGGCCTTGAAGACGTGATGAGGCTCTATATCAAATGCAAGGATTATTATTATTATTATTATTAACATGGGGCTTGAACCACAATCCTTGTGACCCAGAGGCGAGAGTGCTACCAACTGAGCCAAACTGCTCCTATGTTTCTAACTGGTGGAATAATGAAATACAGCAGGATGATTTGTTGCAAATTGTGTTTACAAATCTAGGCATCACTGATTTGCCTAATACCCTGTGGAATTTTTATTTTTTTCTCATCAGGTGATTCCACCAAAAGGTTGGAAACCCAGAAGAAATTACGATAACATCGACAATCTGATTATCCCTGCTCCAATTCAACAGATGGTAACTGGTCAGTCAGGCCTTTTTACCCAGTATAACATACAGAAAAAGCCAATGACTGTATTGGAATTCAGGAGGCTGGCGAATAGTGATAAGTAAGTATATTTTGCTCTGTTTAATCTTTGTGTTCTGAAGAAAATATACAGCGAAAATGTTTTATCTAAAAATTGTATTTAAAATATTTCACTAAATCTTGTTTTTTTGCCCCCCAATCCACATTGCTAGATTTAAAAGTTACATATCCGATCAATGATATCCGATCAAGAACAACCAGTTTCAACAATTTTGTAGTTGTATAATTTTTGGTGAAAAATGTGTTAATACAATTGAAATACAATAACTATCCGATATTGAATGCTTTCTAAGCTGGGGCTGAGCAATATTAAACATGGACAACTGCTGACACTAGTGTTCTGAAAGTTGTTTATAGGTGTTGAACTGTTATCTGCTCTGGATTTTATCTTTAAATGTGGAGTCCTCCAGCGTATTGGTTAAAGCACTTGCCTTGCAAGCGAGAGGAACCGAGTTCGATTCCTGGGCAGGGCGAAACCTTAGGCAAGTTTCCTTATTCCACTTACTGGTAGGTTACTCTGTTTACCTAGCAGTAACTAACCAGTTTTTAGTCGATTGGGGATCACTTTTTTCGGGGTAATAAACTCGCCCCCAAATAACAATTTGGTCACTCAAGCCATGACTGTTTGTGGGACACTGCTGTGCGAAATTGACTCCCGTGTTTTTCCTATAAAATATACAATCAATTCACTTTACAATATATTCTGTGAAGCGCTTTATCAAATCAAGGATTATTATTATTAACTTGTACATGGAAGTACAATGCACAATACAAAATTACATTTGTTTAGCGCCTTTCACATCGAGAAGATGGCCCAAGGTGTTGGACTGTCATATTTTGACCTGAACAGGGAGTTGGGATCAGGGAGGGTAGAGGGCAGCCAAGAGAGGAGGGTGGCCGATGGCATGGTCAAAGAGGAGGGTTTTGAGGTGTGTCTTGAAGGAGGCAGGGGAGGGTGCGAGGGAAAGGGAATGTGGGATGGAGTTCCAAAGGGTGGGGGCAGAGAGGCTGAAGGCCCGGCTGCCGATGGTGAGGCGGGCCGGGCGGAGCTGCTGAGAGGAGGGAATGGCCGGGTTCATTTGGGGTCAGCTGGTCACAGAGGTAGGAAGGAGCAAAGCTGTGGAGGGCCTTGAAGGTGAAGACGAGGATTTTGAACTCTATCCTCTGGGGTAGTGGAGTTGGACAAGGGTGCAGGTGCACTTTTAATATCCACCACCTCATATGGGACAGTAGGATATAGGAACAGCCTTTCGAGCCTGATCTTTACATCTATAATTTTAAGGCAGTGAATTGCACAAATTGTGCCAACCCTGTGTGAAAAAATGTTTTTTGATCTGGCGACTAACCTGGTTAGTTCTAATGTCGGTGACATCCTCTATGATGAAGTGAGATTTTTGTGGAAATAAATCTTTCTGGTACTTAGTTGCACTCACAATCATTATTCAAGTATAGTGCATGTTCACTATAATACACTTCACTATAGCAAACATTCGCTTAGAATTTGCTTTATATCCCTCTATGAGGGGCAAGAGTTCCCTGTCTAGCTGGTCAGTCCCTTTTCAGTTTTCTCAATAAGAATACCCCTTAATTTCTTCACATCTCGGCAATATATCACAAGCTTACCCAGCCTTTCATCATTACTAAGCTGCTTCATCCCAGGTATTAATGTGGTTAACCATTGCTGGATGCCTTCCAAAGCCTGTGTATCCCTCCTAAGGTTGACCGTCCAAAATTGAACAGAATACTCCAAATAAGGTCTGACTAATACTCTATGCAACCATATTAGTAATTCTTTGATAATATGCAAGATTGTGCAGGGAAGTTGGTAAAACAGCGGATCTCAACATGAGTAAGGTAGGGAGGGGCTTTGCTGATCCTGGTGGTGATTATCAAATGGCAAGACGTTTGCAATATTTTGTAATGTATTCAGTTTAATGCAAATATCACACAAGGGGGTTATGAAACACTCCCAATTTCTCCCATGTAAAGACAGAGTGGTAATATATATTTAGTGTTCTTAAGATATTAGCATGGAAAAGCTTCGAATTTCAAAGTGATAATTTTGATTTGTGACTATTTAAAAGCAGATACTGCACTCCTCGCTACCAGGATTATGAAGATCTTGAGCGTAAATATTGGAAGAATCTGACCTTTGTAGCACCAATCTATGGAGCAGATGTCAGTGGCAGTCTCTATGATGAAGTGAGTTTTTTGTGGAAATAAATCTTTCTGGTACTTAGTTGCACTCACAAACATTATTTAATGTTTAATTAATTTAATGTATAGTGCATCTCCGCTATAATACGCTTCACTATAGCAAACATTCACTTATAATCTGGTTGGACTGTGGACCGTATTCATTAGGAATTAGCATTCCCTGGTCCTCACTTCCTTCAAGCCAGCCAACTTTGCGCCAAAATGATCAATTTATGGCTCATTAAGTGGCCTTTAAAATGCCATTCCTGTTTCCTGTGGGAAGTGAGTAAGCTGGCTGTGCATGTCCAGTGATTGGGGTCCACAGTGCATCTGCGTAATAAGTGCATTCATACAATATTGAAGCACGTGAAGCATGCTACAATGTGACTTTTTCCTTCTGCCACCAAATTCCATGTTCTCTTCATTATATTCTCATGACAAACTGACCTTGAATATACTTTCTGGAGTATGGACTGCAACATACCTCCTTCCTCTAACTTTGTATTTGCTTCTACATTGATTCAACACTGAAAGCTCATCAAACCTTGGGGTGTTGCAAAGGGTTAAAAAAAATTGAGGATCAGGTATATGGATGGTACTTTATATTTATGACATAACTAATGTACTAATAGCTTGTGCTTGGGCTTGCCCGAGCTCCAAGGTGACATACTTGGTATCGGAATGTTGGAATTGAGTCAACCTACGTATGTCAGACATCCAGCTCAGCAATCAAAACAAAATCACATATCACATAATGTATCATATGCCGCTATAAATTGTTACTTTTATACTTTTCTATACCATTGACCTAGTAGAGGGTCTTGGAGCTGAGCTTGTCCAACGTGATTGAATGGAATTCATTCCTTTGATCAACAAGTCACTTTGGAGCCAGTTCAGCTCTAAGGAGCGAGACCGTGGAGGATTTGAACGGGAGAAAGAGGATCTTGAACTCGATCCGCTGAGGGATGGGGAGCCAGTGGAGCCACGTGAGAATGAAGGTGATAAGCTGCCGGAGTCTGGTGCGGGAGAAGATCCAGGCTGCAGAGTTCTGGATAGTCTGTAGTTTGTGTACGGAAGATCTGGGGAGTCAAGCGAGCAGAGTGTTGGCATAATCAAACCTGGACATGATAAGTGTGTAGGACTGAGTAGCTACTATTTTGTCCCTATTTTATGCTGATGATTGCTCCCTCTGTTGAAGTTTGACATGAGAGTATGACTCTGTTGGGATGTGCATTCTTTTGATTCCTGCTCCTGGTGGTAGTTTTCATGAGCAGAGACAGTGTGTTTTAATGGGCTATTTTACCATGAAGTGTCAGGGCTGAGATCGAACCTTCTGTCCAGACTAATGTGGATGACTTATGCAGAGATCTTGGGATTCCAGACTTCCTTCCTTCCACCTAGGGTAGCAGTGTCAACGGTAGTGGCACCACAATCAGAGACTTTATGTGATCTGTATTTGCTCTGCAGCGAGGTACATTTTGAAATTTTTTGAACTGATAGCTTTGTGCAATCTTCAACTTTTCATTAAGATGGTGATCGAACTAAGTTTTCTCATTAACGTCACTGAGTTTATTCAGTGATTGAACAAAACAGCATTAAAGAGTTTACACTTGAGTTAATGCTGTACTTTCTCTGATATTTTATTCATATTTAATTGTTTTTAGGATATCGATGAATGGAATATCACTCGACTGAACACAATTCTTGATGTCGTAGCAGAAGAAAGTGGCATTGCCATTGAAGGAGTGAACACACCATATCTGTATTTTGGCATGTGGAAAACCACTTTTGCTTGGCATACTGAGGACATGGATCTTTACAGCATCAACTACCTACATTTTGGAGAGCCCAAATCTTGGTAGGTTCAGTATCCATTATCCTTTTCTTTAAAGTTTAATTCCTATGTTTACTTTGGAACTACTTTTGCTTTCCCCAAAATGAGTGATATTGGGATTATTTCAATGCTTATGGGATATTATAATTTCTGTGTTTAGGGAACTGCATTCATAGGTAAACGTTACCACTTCTAACCATTAAGGCAGCTATATTTCATGTGCTAACAAAGCCCTTGACAAGGGTCAGGTTTAGTGTGCATTGAGTGTGTGAATACCTGGAACTCATCAGAGATGTGTTCTGCTGTCAATTTGGATGTAACTTTAAACTCCATTCTGCAATATTATGGACTGCTTGGGTTTAATGTTATCTCACAAGAAGGTTAAGCCCAGTTACATGTGAAGTGAAACTGGAGAGGATGGACCCAGGTAGGAAAGTATTTCTTAATGTACACTGCCATTAATATTGTGCTACTGACATCCTACTTGAGTAAGGATGTAGATTTGTTAGCAATATCACCACCTAGTGACTGAACCTGAGAACTGAAGCAATATGCACTGTAGTGCAAAGTAATGATCCTTGTTACGTAAACATTTCTGGAGGACATTTCAATGCTCTTAAAACTGCTGGCTGGGCGCACGAGCTTGGGGAGGGTGGATGCGGGCATGAGAAAGATAACCAAAAGTGGAATCAAAGAGATCTTGAGATGGACCTTGCGTGAGATGAGGGTGGAGGGTGCCGGAAGGACTCTGAGATGGATTTACAGAGAGTGGGATGTCATCCACGTACACGTGGGAGTGAACCTCATGTCTGCAGATAGTGTTACTGAGTGTTACTGAGTGGGACCATGTAAATAACGAAGAGGAGAGGAGTGAGGTTAGTGCCCTGAGCAACGCTGCAAGTGGCTGTATGTGGAGCGGAGGATGGGGGGCAGAGAAGAAGCTGTTTGATGAAACAATTTTTACTGCTTGTTCTGGAATTCGTAGATGTTTACACTGAAATTGGGTGTTAAAATGAGTAACAAGGTGATTTAAAGGCAAACCTAAAGTTAATTTGATAACTCTTTATTTTGTGATAGGATTTAGAAAAACATTGACATCCTTTTTAAAAAGGAAGAACTGTGACTATTAAATAAAAGGGCTTTATCACAGATGATATTTTAAGATGTACTTCAAAAAACAAACTGTGTGCTTAGGGATTTTCAAAGGCACAGACTCATTTTCTTCTGACCTGTAGAAGAAAGGTAGTTATTTGTCTGGAATTGATACTGGTAAGAGTGTTTGGTCCCTATGTTCATGTGCTGAGCATTTGTTACTTGAGAACTTGATTGTGCCTGACAATGTAAGATTAGGTCCAGGAGCTATTGTGATAGTCTCATCTAATTTATTGTTTTTCGAGGTATAATACTAATAATCCTTGCATTTGATATAGCGCTTTCACGTTGGGAGGATGTCCCAAAGCGCTTCACAGAATACACTGTAAAGTGAATTGACTGTATATTTGTGGGCGAACGCGGCAGCCAATTGCGCACACAATGTCCCACAAACAGTCGTAGATTGAAAATGGACTGATTATTATTAGGCTCTGTGAGGAGAAAGGAAACTTGCCCAAGGTTTCGCGCTGCCTGGAATTGAACCCAGGTCTCTCACTTGCAAAGCGAATGCTCTAACCACTGAGCTACAGGACTCCTTAATTGATGCTGTGTTTAACATCTGATCTCTACTGATTTTTTGTGCAAAGTATTCGTAAAGGCTTGTTTTCTAGAAAATGCTTAGGTAAAGGTTCCCTCAGAGCACAGAATACAGCATCTTATAAGAGAAGTTGTGACGAGTAACTAAAGATTCTTGAAACACAATTTTTTTCATAAGACTATGAATTTATTTTTATTGAAAATTCACTTTGAGTGTTTTTTGATCATCTGTTTTGCTTCCCGAAAGGAGTGTAGATTATTAAATGAAGGGCTGCAGATTTGGCACAGCATTTTTTGTCGAAAACCACAGCGCAGTCATGGTAAATAATGAATGTTGCAGGTTTATGAGGAAATTCTGGGAGAAGTCGGGGATATGGATATTCAAGTACACTTCTTAATACCTCCCAATATTTCCAACGTTTAAAACCGAGACGTGAAAAAAAAAATACCTATGAGTGCAGGCAGCGGCTGAGCTGTGTGCAAGCATGAACGAGAATGGTTTGAATTTCCTGCAGTGATCTTGCGAGATGCTGGAATATGCGAGCACACGGTCCAGCCACTTCAATTCAAATGGGACAGGGCAGCGACTGGATTGTGTGCAACAGCCTCGCAGGAACAGTTTGAATTTCCCGCGTTTACCTTGAGAGAGTATGTGTCGGCCCCTCTCGGGGTTACTGTGCGAAATGTACGGGACAAGCGGGTTTTGTCACAGAAAAACTGAAAAATCACGTTATCTTTTCTCTGCCGTGACAAATCTGACAAATCCCAATTTTATGGAATTCCAATCTATCCTAATAGTAATACGTCGTTGCCATCTGCTGGATATTATAATATTGCAATATGAAAATTCACATGGTGATGTATCAAAAGAAGTTTTTTAGTATGTAAGCTCATTTCCGCCTTCCCTCAAAATACACAAGCAATTTTGTTTTATTTTATTTTATTTTGTAAGAATCTTGTATGTTAATTTTAGGCACCAACGAAGTTCAATTATATCTGTAACTGGGAATATTTGTGCGTGTATTTGAAGTCCATGTTTCATGCAAATTTGCAGTGGGTACTGGCAGGGAGAAGTTTGTGGGTTGACAATTTGCAATGTGCAACGACAACTTTGGAACCTTTTTCTGGGCAGCCCATTTCCAATTTCTCTTGGAAATGGGGTGCCCAGAAAAAGGGTCCAAAATTCAAGGAGAGATGGTCAGGGAACTGAGGAAACCTATTAGAACTACAGAGTTAGAGGAATAGAAAAAATAAAATTCCTTGAAGAGAGAAGGGAGAGAGAAGAAACTTATTTAGGGAGAATGGTTAGACACAATCTGGTGAATTGCTGCACTGTGTGAAAGTAAAATGAGATGATTAAATGCCGACATAACAACGTGGCTCCCTATTGAAAACAATAGATCACAGTTGCTATTGTGCTATCAGTAGGCACATCGCTGAACAATATATGATCTTGTGCTGTGGAATTTCATGCTTCTCATCTAATAAGATTAATTGAATGAAAGGAAATGGCAAGAATATTCAGCAATTGTCCTGGAAGCTCTTATTGGTATCAGCAATTGGATTAAGCTAATGGGTACAGATTGTCTTTTTTGAAATGGAGTTAACTTTTTTAATGCTCTTTTAAATATAACACCAGTATTTCCTTATTTCTGGTTTCTATCTTTGTATCTCTCAGCTGAAGTATGAAAATAGCAGACTTGAGCACTTCTAGCTTCTCTTCGGTTAATTTAGCAAAGCAGGAAAATGATATTGTTTGATAGTTGTACTTTAATTGCCATGTTTGCTTCAAAGGACTATTTGCTGGGGGACTGATCGATTTGCGTGAAAATCTGTTAGAAAGAAATGGTTTGCCTTTTGGAAACTGGTTTGCTTTCCTTTATCTGTCCAGCACCTTGGGACATCCTCCTGACGCGAAAGGCACCATATAAATGCAATTTGTTGTTGTTAATTCTCAGCATTTGAATTCACAAATGCAACAACAACTTGCATTTATATACCACCCTCAACGCAGGGTAACAACTCAGAGCATTTAACAGTGGCGGAGTCTGACTCCGAGCTGGGGTGGGGAGAGGTGGCCATAAGCACGGTCGAAGAGGAAGGTTTTCAGGTGGGACTTAAAAAAGGGGGGGGGTGGCAAGGTGGAGGGATTGAGGGAGAGTGTTCCAGAGTTTTGGGGCGTAATGGCTGAAAGCACAACTTTCGATGATGGGGCGGAGGGTGCGAGGGACGAGCAGGAGGCCGGTGCCAGTCGAGTGGAGGCGCCGGGTGGTGGATTGAGGAATGAGGAGGTCGGGAGGTGCCAGTGAGTAAAGGGATTTGAGCACAAGTGTGAGAATTTTGAAGTCGATCCACTTTAAACAGAAACGGTAGTTTGCATGTAATTCCCGTACATTTTTTTCCTGAATGATATGATTTTACATGAGTGAAGTACTGCTGATGGGCGTAGATTTTGCAGAACCATTTCATCATATAATCGGGCTATAATTGCAACTTGCGAGCACAAAATTTACTCCTGCTGCCAGAGATAGATTCATTACTTCAGCAGACGAACGCATACTGGACAACTCTTGTCAATCGTATTTTGTTTACCTATTGAATACTTTTTAAGTTTGGAATACTGACGTTTGAAGTAGTCAGGGATCTTGAAAATGAGATAAAAGCTTCCCTGTTCTTCAATTTAATTTTCAGGACAAAGGAGCTTAAAGGGAGATAACAATATAAGGAAGCCGTGCAGTTTGTTTGGGTCAATTAGTTATTTTTTGCCCTGGTAGACAAATAACCATGTTTGTGTGTGGTACCATATATCTGAAGTCCATACCCTAGGATTTCCAGTATAATCTTGAATTATAACACAAATGCACAATGCATATCTGCACAAACGGCTTCTCCTCCCACTCTCACCCGGTTACCTGCGGTGTACCCCAAGGATCCATCCTTGGCCTCCTCTTTCTGATCTACATGCTCCCTCCTCTCCTCGTCGGCCTTCCCGGCACCTCCCTCCACAAGCTGCAGGTCATTCAGAACTCTGCAGCTCGTGTACTGTCCCGCACCAGGCTTCGGGGCCACATCACTCCCACCCTCGCTCGCCTCCACTGGCTCCCCATCCCCCAGAGGATCGAATTCAAAATCCTCATCCTCACCTACAAGGCCATTCACGGCCTTGCTCCCTCCTACCTCTCCAACCTACTATCCCCCTACCTACCTGCCCGTACCCTCCGTTCCTCTGGCTCCGGTCTGCTCCACATCCCCCGCCCCAACCGCCCTACCATCGGTGGCCGGGCCTTCAGCCTCTCAGCCCCGAGGCTCTGGAACTCTATCCCCCAGTGCCTTCG